GCCGAAACAAACTCAAAGATCAATGTAAAATACGGTCAATCTAAAGATTTTCGGTTTTCAAAACCCACTTTAATGTTTAAAAAGTATATTTTAATTAGAAAAAAGTAGTTATAATAACTATGGTCTCCATAAACCACCTATTCCGGTATTTATAAAAAAAAAACATGATAGCCAGTTCATCACAATAATCCACACTATTAAAACCGCTCTAGAGTAAATTTTGCCTACACACTATCCCAACAACAGTAATATTAAAATCAACAATTTAACACAACAAACAAAACACAAAACAATTCAATATTCTTTTTCAACGAAGTAGAAACAAAGGACAAATTGTATAACACAAACGTATATGAACTCGGCAAGTGTGAACCAGAATCGACCTTTCGCAAAGTAGGGCAATACATACTGCCACCCTTTCCGACATGTGCCGAGACCATAAATTACAACGCGCACCTGTAAGTGCTAGATCATGCCTAGATAAAGAAATGTATATGGAACTGATTTATGATTTTGTTATATGCACTTTGGGATTACGTTTCGGATGTTATGAGTTTGGTAGCAGTGGAGCGTTCGGTGATGTGTGATTTTGAGTCTTATTGTTTAGGTGATTTGATCATGCTGTAAAATTGAGTAGTCTTTTGAGGATATTCAACTCTATGGCTATGTTGTTTGAGTATGTGTCAGTACAATTGTTAAGTAAAAAAACTTGGGTTGATTTTCTGAACTCTTGCACAAATGACGTGTAAGTTGACGCTAGTTGAATGAGGGAATAGATTGTCAGTATCACTGACATTCGATATCTTATTTCTAAACTCATCTATGAAGATAATATTTTTACTGCATACATACGATACATATACCAAAATATTTTTATTTACAATTTTTGTTTGTGTATGTACTGGCTAATATCTGGAATGCTTGGACCGTTTATGACGGGACTTTTATTGACAGTTAGCTGATGTACTAAGGACTACGTTTTTTGGAAAACTGAAACAAAAAAAGTTATGTCATCAAAGTCATATTGTACGCGGATGAAGTCGCGGGCAATAGCTAATATTAATACTATAATTGACCAATTGGTAAAATTTTACAGATTCAATTTGACAAATTTTTATCATTGTTTTTTTAGTATTCATATATTTTGACATTCGTGCATAAGCACACGTAAAGGCGAACAGGCATAGTTCAAACAAAAAGGATATACATACGAGTTAATCAAAACCATACATTAAGGCGTACAATATATGATTTATAATAGAATGCACTTCAGGATTACGTTCAAAATTTACGGCTGTAAGGTACATTTCATTTAATAGGATTAAGCAAAAATGTGTGTTTGTAATCGGATTGGTTCCAAGTGTTTTATTGTGGGATTATGATAATACAAGGGTAGTGCTTATTGTTTGTTTTTGTACAGATAAATGGGATTATCTAATGTCCCATAGACCCTTGCATATGTTAAGGAGGGGCTCCTTTGCCGTGTTATTGATTTTATTTCAATAGTTTTGTTTAAATTGAAATCTTATTTAAGTTTTTGTTGATTGACTGCCTCGTTGGTCGAGTGGTCGCCGCAAGTGCGACTGCCGGGCAAGGGGTCTCGGGTTTGATTGCCGGGTCGGGCAAAGTATTACTGGGTTTTTAAAAATCTCAGTAGTAGCACGGAGTCTGGAAATGTGCCCGGTATATGGCAATAGGCTCACCCCCTATTACATGGGACTTATAACATAAATAGTGGAAAGTGGGTGTTACATTGTACAGTGGCATTAAATGCCGAAATGTGCACCTCTACCTAGCCCTTCGGGGATAAAATGGCGTGATGTTATGTTATGTTGATTGAGTTATTGTTTTGGATTTTACATGCGAGCGAGCCCATTGTTTATCATATTTTGAGATTTTATGAATGATTTCATTGAATATACTACTTTTGAAAAGTGGGTGTTACATTGTACATACATTAACATAATGAGCACTTCTTCTTTCGCTCTGCCTTCGGGGATAAAAGGCGTGATGTTATGTTATGTTACTACTTGACTAGTTAAGTCAAGACAGGACTAGCTCTGTTAAACAATTTGTATTAATTTTTAACCGAGTTCCCAAAAAGGAGGTGGTTATCAATTCGGCTGTATGCTTTTTTTTTCTTACACACCCTTTATTCATACATCTTTCTCGCAAGTCCACTACACACACACATATATACAGTTTATTGACGAGGGCTCATCACAACACAAGGTCGCCTGTAATATTAGTTGGGTAGACCCAAAATTAATGTGTAACTTATAATCAAATACCGATCAAAATATCACACATAAACCGGATTATTCGCAACTATAAACCGCGTTACAGAGAAGCGTAATAATATGAGTAAATTGTACCAAAACCTATCATATACCCAGCGACATCAAGGGCCAAATTAACGTGGAAATTATATTCAAATCACTGAGCTGTGAACCTTAGTACACTTATATTATAATACATAGTTGTTTGGCAATAAAACTGTGTATTACTGGGCACATTTTGTTCGCTCCGTATAGCTTGACAAATATATATACAGGTAGTTAATGTTTTGGATTATCGAGTATTCGAAATGTTTGGAATGTGGAGAAAAAGTTGGGAGAAGTTTGCAGACAAAATACGTTTTCAAGGACGTCGCGAGAATATTGATATTAGACATTTTGTTAATGTTCGACCTTGGTAGAGACGGTTGAAATGTGTCTGAATATTTATTCTGTAATAAAAGTGATATATGTATGTATGTATTGTGGAATTCCGTATTTCTATTTTAAATATGTGTGGTTTTTATTATAATATGTTGAATATTTTGTTTAGTGTAGTAGGGCAGGCGGAGTTTCATATTTTATTAAGGTAAAGACAAAATCATTAAATATTATGAGAATATTAAAGAAAATCTTCGAATTTTATATTTTAATACGATAATTTTGATGTTGCATTAATATAAAAATAGTTTTTATAACTAATAACTATCGTGAGACATACTAAATTAACTAAACCACAAAGGGGTTATTTTATTCCTAATGAGCAGCGTGCGCGGTCGCGGCGATGCCGCGCAGCTCACTATGGTCCGAAACTAGTAGACCATTTCTCATTATATTCACATGAGTAACCCGCGATTTTAGTTAATTCAATATAAAAAAATATTTTTACATTTTATCACTGACGAGGCAACTTGGGCTCATATATTTATAAAATCTTATCAAAGATTATTTGAGAAAATTAAAATTAGCAAGAAGTCATTTCTTTTACTGGCTTTTCTATGTCATTAGCACTCGATTAATTACTTTTTAATTACCAAGTATCGAGGCTTATAATTAAGTTCCGGGTAAGTCAATATTGTTCGTATAAATCAATAATTACAATTTTACCATTTCATTAATTTACGGCGTAAAATATTTTTTGTGGTCGTATGATGTTTTAATGATGCGGTAATTATTTATTCGCATTTAATTATTCTGCGTATGCTAGTGATGTGGCTAGGTAAATTTTTTAAATGTGGTTTAATTTAATGTTTTAATTTCCGTGTTGTATACATATTGCGTCAATAATAAATAAATCTCTACAATTTTAGTATCCAAAGAAAATATTCAGTAAAATCAGCGATTTTTTTAGAAATAAAATAATTTTCTTGAAATTAAGTATAAGATATCTTTTTTGTACTTTTACACGAAACATTAACATAGGTAGACCTACTTGAATATCTAAACATTAGATTAAATTTGAATTGCAGTCAAACAATCGCCTTTTCTTCACTACTTACCTACTTTACGTAATGAATAAATCCCTCAACTTTACGTTTATTTATAGAACGAAACAATAGAACCCCCTGTAGAGGTACACGCTACAACAATAACTTTGAGAAGCGTTGAAATTATGATTACGCAAACGCAAACCGTCTAAGTCTCTACAGGTAACGGGTTACGTAAAAGTTTGCTACTACTAACCGTCGTATTGATTAGCATAAAATTTTCTTACTATTATTTTAATGAGTTCCCGCAAGCGAAACGTTTACCTTAACGTTTGAAATAACTTGGAACGGTAAATAAGTAGATGCTTTGTTGTAGGTATTTAGGTCAACTGCAAAAAATCGCAAAGGATTATGAATCGTGAATATGGATCTTAAATGCTATTTTAGAATGTCGCATATAATTCGAGCAATAGTTATATTTCTACCAAGCATTATTCTTGTATCAGATTGAATTGAAAGGTATTGTAATCATAAGCTTGTTCTGAGTAGATATTTCTGCTTTGTGACTCAGATATCAAAGCATTTGGATTGTATCTGTAACTCTAGATGGCGTTGTATCCTTCAGGAACATCTGTACAAGCATCAAAACTAGTTGGTACAATCAATCCGATCACCTTCTGTTGGTTAATAAACTGCAAGGTTGGTTCGGTGGCTGGCCAATCAGCTGCCGTGAAACTTGTAATGATTTCGATTCCCGCACGGAGCAACTCTTTGTGTGATCAATATATTGATATTTCGGGTCAAGGTGTCCTGTATTTGTGAAATTGTATCTTTGTAAATGCACCCACGATACAAGACAAAATTAGGATTTTCTCCTTGTCTTTAGTTGTAGTTGTCTTTAGTTTACTTTTTCCTTGATATTTCCATTTATCCTACATCTTTATTTCACTTGCAAATAGAAACAAATTCCTTATACCTTCCAAAGGTTTCCAAAAAGAAACGTTATATGAATTTGTTTATAAAAATCTTTAAAAATCATCTGATAAATAAGTTAATGATCAGTTTGTCAACTACGTCAACTTAATGTTCTTGTTAGAGCGTTGCACCCAAAAAAACTCCTATGTATGTAAAGAACACCTAACTCTATTTACTCACTAGATCAACGAGTAACAACCAAAGCTCTTTCTATTTCCAAAAATATTCAAAGCACATTTTCTTGTTACAGATTCAAACGCAGTGCAGTGAAATCACGAACAAAATGTTGTGACAAACACGCGAATCGAACGGTGACTTAAAAATGTGTCATCCGAAGAACTCCCTAGATGTGACTAGTAGAACATTTCTGTTCATAATAGTGTTACTGTCTCTAAAACTGTGTAGTCCCCAGGACTTGAACGAGGAGTTTGTTAACGAGGATAGTATAGAGACTTCTGATATTAGTATAGTGCCAGTGAAAAAGGTGAAGTTTGCTAGGAATGTCGGTGAAGTGACGCCGTGTCGTATGAGCGAGCTGCTGTGCGATACTGGTCAGTGTATCTCACTGGACAAGTATTGTAATGGAGAAGACGACTGTGGTGACAAAAGTGATGAGCCAAAGGCCTGCACACGTAAGTACTTACATAATAATAATAATATAATACCATAACATCATAACATCACGCCTTTTATCCCCGAAGGGGTAGGCAGAGGTGCACATTATACCACTGTACAATGTAACACCCATTTTTCACTATTTATGTCATGAGTCCCTTGTAATAAGAGGTGAGCTTATTGCCATCAACCGGGCACACTTCCAGACTCCGTGCTACTACTGAGAAGTTTTTGAAAACCCTAGTAATACTTTGTCCGACTCGGGAATCGAACCCGAGACCCTTGCCCGGCAGACGCACTTGTGACCACTCGGCCAACGAGAATATAATAACTGTAGTATTATTACTTCTGTTCTTACTTCTGTTTCAAAGTTACTTACCAACCAGTTTAGTTCCTTAGTCTCAAGACGCCTCGATTATGATAGTATGAAAATAACAAACAAAAATAAATTGTGTTGACCCTAACCCGAACTCTTAAAAGTTATGGTTTTTGGCAAATATTTTTATTTTAGCTTGAAATCGACAGGTAGTCAACCTCCCCATAAAAAGATACAAAAGTTGACAGTTATGATATTGCTTCCGAACACACCCCTGACGTCACTCGGATAATATTTTCCGTCTTTGCGAAATTATAAAGTCCCCGAACGTAGAAGACATTGACGTATTAAGTATGTGACTTATAAAAGTAATTTTATGTGGAGTGAAAAAGTCGAACTCCTCATAACAAAAAGGCGTGCGAATAAATCTTTTGAAACTCATTTTAGGTCATTCAAACGCATTTTTAATATGTCTCCCCTTCTCGGTTTGCTGACATCTGTCACAAAAGAAAAGGTAGTAAAGGAAGGCTACGGATTGCGGGCTATGAAACGAGCGTGTTCTGCAATAACGAGGAAGGAAAGATGGAGAATCCTTTGTATGAATGTTTAGGTATCGTGAAATGATTTCTTTCGATACTTGATATGAAGATAGTTGTCTTTAGTTTACATTTTCCTTGATGTTTTTATTTATCCTACATCTTTATTTCACTTGCAAATAGAAATAAACTCATATAAGCTTCCCTATATAATATATATAGATTGCTGAATGTTTATGATACATTTTTACATGTACATACATCCAAAATCCATGTAGGAATTAAGACGTTAAGTAAAGATTACACTGATATAATATTAACTTAAGAGTAAAGAACTTATTCACAATATGAAATGTCTTTGCATTCACACAAGTCGCTCATTTCCTAGCCTCGAATGCTTCGTCGCATGGCAGTGGAGTGGCTGTGTCAGCGATGGACAGACTTGGCTCCCTTTTGCCTTTTATGTAATATTCATCCCGGCGAGTTATGCGGGACTCCGCCAAAACATACGTATATTATACAACATGTTTATGGATTTACGTAATCGTTCAGTTCGGCAGTTCGGTAGTTCGGTCAGTGCGTATCGCTTCTGCATTATTTTGTTACTATTATTTTGAACTTTATGGGGAAGTACGTGAAGTTATATTTATGTTACCACGGTTATGGGATGGATATTCAATATGTTGTCGTTTATCTGTCTTGTTGACTGGGTATGAATAAAACAGTTTGGTATTATTTTTTGTTTCTGTTTATTTAACGCCGGAATACTGAACGGCAATTAAATTTTTATTTATATTTAAATATCATGTTATCTCTGTAATTTTACAAAGAATTTGTAGTGACAATTATCCCTCCCTACCTTACCTAATCCCTACGTCCGAAACAATCAACAAATTCCTAATCCCAAAAGGCCAGTAACGCACTTGTAACGCCCTTGGTGTTCCAGGTGTCCATGGACGACGCCGATTGCTTACCATCAGGATCACCTAGAACACCGTCATCGTTTACCGGCTTATCCCACAAAAAACTGAACTATACGCATGACTTAAAATTGAGTAGCATTTGAATATTTCGACGTTAAAGATCGTTTCCTTAAAATCTGAAACTTACATACATAACTTAGATTTGAAATTGACGAAGTATTAATGCGTCATTAATTTAAAAATTTCAAATGTTGTAGTAATATTTTGTCGTGGTAACGCGAAGTACGGAAATAAGTTCCCCTAAATAAGTAATCCAATAAGTAACCCTCAATTATGAAATAATATGAAACAAGTAATAAAACTGACGAAGTGTACTATACTTTTACTGGCACAACACCAAACGTAATATCTATCATAGTAAACACAATCGAAATACTACTTTACGACTTTCATATAATATTTACGTCAACTTGAAGGTATGGGTCACAGTCCGTAATACCGCTTCCCTTTTATTTCTCCAACCTATAATATGAAGCGTCAGCGGTCACAAGTTGTGACGCACCTGACCCTTTTTGAAGGACATCACTAATAGGTCACCACACGTCCTTGTTGTGTGAGTACCTTGATATTTCTATACTATGTGTTTGCGATGTCCGCGATTACGCTCGCTTAGATTATGAAGTTTTATAAAATAAATATTTTCTCATAGCCTAGGTAGGCTAGGAAAAGCTAGCTAGGTAGGTACCTAGTAACCTAAGTGCCAATAAAAATCCCGTCAAAATCGATCCTGTACTCGAGAACTGTACAGGATTAATTTTGTTATATATACATAACTACTGTCGCGGCGCGCGTCAGCACTTTTGTATGACTATTTAAACTGTATCATTAGCATTTTATATCACTGCACTTTATCATTTTGTATCAATAAGTATCAATATACTCTCGTCACAGAAGCTTGTGTTATAATATAATTTCTACGCGATTTCGTGTCTATATCAATGAAAAGCAGTCAATCTATCAACTATCATCCGAGTGTAGGTGCTTACAACCCCTACATTGGTTGTTAGTTTTATTTTAAGAAATAAATAAAATTTAAATATCATTTTGAAGAAAACAGTACAAAGAAGTATCAAAACTATACAGGTTTTGTTCTCATAATAACCATCTACAAATTTAAGCATCTAGCTACTAAACTCAAGGGGCTATTCAGTGGTTCATACAAAACATCGTTACCTTATCAAATTACTTTCTTATATGTTTTTCAATACAGTTAGCATTCATATTCTGAAATCTGTATTATTATTTTAATCCCAACAAACGACTTATTTACTAACAAGACAGACGTATTAGCAGAGGTATTGAGGAGCTTCAGAATGTTAGCAATGAAAACCCATTCACAGATCAACTGCGCCAAAAATAGCTTACACCAAGCGTTTGGACTGTACGACTGTGTCGGCCACAAGTCTCTGTATTACCACTGATCCTGAACACAAATAAATTCTCTAGCACGGCAAACCTTAATCTGCTTCGCACAGTTTCACCAAAATGGTTCTCATTCCACGCTCGTAAAATACGTTTTTGTTCAAGGAATGTCTGCAACGATAATTGTCTTACACAAAAGAAGTGAAGACGTACTCACAAAGGGAATTGAAAGAAGTAGATTACAATGAGTTTGCTCAGTTCTTTCTCTCTTGGGAGGCGGTGCATCAGTCTGATGCAGACCGCAGAACGAAGTTAGGAATTACATTTTTATTGAGCAAACGGTATAGAAATTGTACAGAAACAATGGAGTTGCGTTTTCTGCGCGGTGAATTTCAAATATTATGAGAATGTTTGGAACACTGCAGTCGTTTTGCTGGTAATATCTATACGTGAACATCCCTTTGTCTAAATAAAACTAAACGACATTTAACATTTAACTATTCTTGTTTATACAATTCATATTTTTAACATTAATATAATGCTTTCTATCGATGTATCGATACCCGATACCGATCAAAAATTTCTACACGCTAGTCGATACCCATCGAAAAAAGTTACACGCACACAAAGTTAAACCATGCCTAATCAATGTCAAATCAGTGTTCAAATACAAGGTTTTCTACACAAACATATAATTTGTGGCTATGATTTACGAGAAAAATATAAACATACTAACAAACTAAACAATAGGGAGCACAGTGATTGTTCCTATGAATATTCTAGCAGGTTAAACACACACGGTTGTATCTCGATGCGAGGTCCGTGACTAATGATACTCCATTTTGTAAACACCGCTACGGTAAACTTAACACCTTATTAAACGCAGGTTTTTTTGTTAATTGTGGCTATATTTTGGCTTAATGACCACCTACGTGGGCACGATAAAAGGGAAAGCTCGTTTTCAGGCGGTCGCTATAATTAAAGAAGGTTTATTGTACGCCTCAGACTTTGAGTGGTTGCTATTAAAATTTACACGAAGTTTGCATAGCATATATTCTATTTAAAGATCTATATCTTTTATTTTGTAATGAGTTAAAACTGATGTGAGGTTAATTAATGGAATTTTTACAACAATGATTAATTATGTAATGTACTATTATACATGACTTTCTAAGCACCATCGTTTACTTAACGCCGGTTTCAATACCTCCATATAAGTACCTGATAAACTTATGTGACAGATAGTTCATACAACTTACGTTCTTAATTCAAATTTATCTGGTAGATAACGACTATTCAGTGCCTTTAGCCAAACGCCACTTTAGCGCTTGTCTACCAAGAGAATAGAAAACTAAATGTATGGGGATGACACTGATAAGTTTCAAAATTTACGTCAATTCCATATAATTTGGTTTTCTATTCTACAAGTAGACAAGCGCTAAATGGCATTTGGCTACAGCTGTAGATATTGTGAAACAGGCCCTTAGTCTATTTATTTGATAAATTGTTTTGTATTCTTAGGGCTTACTTCAAAAAACCAAAACCGCAACCCTAGCATTTTACTTCAAAAATTTGGTCCAGACATCCAAGATTCCGGAATCTAGAATTCTTATCTAGATTTTACATCGTGAACTATGAGAAGTATCCAGCGGTATTCCCAAAATATTTTACCTTTGTGTGTCAGCATTCTAAAGTCTTGTGCAGTTTATTGCAATCCACTGCACTCTTACCAGGTGCTCGGTAAGAATGTCCCTAATAGCAGCATTAGCTGCGACTGGAAACTAAAGTGAAGATTTTTGAGATAAGTTTGTAAAACCAAT